AAAAACTGAATTACCATCAGAGGGGTGGTTCACTTACTGCATTTATAGGTATTTGCATTCGTTTCGAACAATTCTAATGCCCAGTTTAATTTATCAATTTAAATATAATTGCAGGTATTCGACGTGATTTTAAACAACAAGCATGCAGTTGTAAAGGAGCTTGATATTTTTCATCAAGTCGGCCGTGGGACTGCTCACGAAGGGTACGTTCATTTTAGGGTATCCAACGATCGCCTCTTCTACAAAGATGAACAGTCCGATATCCGCAATGGTGTCGTTCGTTTAGATTTTATTAAGGGCCCTTACGATAATCCTAAAATTAATGCCTTTGCCTTGCTCAAAGGTGACGTGGCGAATATACCACGCTTGCCGCCAACATCCGATGATATTCTCCCAATGGATGCCGACATGGCAGTTTTCAATGATCGCATCTCTGCTGATAGTGGTAGCAGCGAAGGAGCTGCTGAACAAACACAAGAGCATCAACAGCGAATTAGAAATGCTGCTTCCTCGCCGGTGAATGATGCCACGCTGGACGAAGACGAAGAGAAGGATATCGAAGTTGAATCCGTGCCATCAACGCGGAAAGTTAGTGGTCCGAGACAACCGAATCCTTATTCCATGGATGATTCATCAGTTATGCTGCCGGTTTTCATAGCCATTGGAGCATTCATACCTTTGCTTTTCTGCCTCTGCAAGTTGTGATGGGTTCGACTTACAACAACATAGAATAGAAGATTAGGAGCTGTTCCATTGGGGTTCGGAAGTGATCTAGAAAAAAACGAAAGTGTACAAGATAAAGCGGTATTGTGATCTTTGCAACTTCAGTCCGGTATCCGGATATAAAAAAGGGTGGTATATATTTATCAACGAAAATTACTTCATGTCGAAGCGCTATTTACATAAATGCCTATCGCTGCCTGAAAGTTTTCCTTGTTTGCTCCCTACATACTACTGTACTACTCGATCTCCTTCGTGTCGTTTTTATTTATTGTCAATATTTGATTATGCTATTAGCACTGAGAAGGTGTGCACTGGTAGCTAAATTAAGCATTTATATCTGTTTAAACTCATAAGGCACAATACGTACTAACTGCAAACGCTTGTACGTAATATTTTGGAATAAGTTTATTTTGGGTTGTGAAACACCGAAATGTTGAAGAATGCTGGTACGTACTTATATTTTGTTGATAGAATAATTCTCGAAAACAATAAATAATACCAATGCTCAGTGCATGTTGTTTTCAACGCACAATAAATTGTTTTGAAGAGGAAACAGTCGCATAAGCGATTCGCATATATGTATTTACATACGTATATACACAATTTAAAATATAGATTTAAATTTAAAGAAACCACATATGTGCATTTCTTGGAGTTGCAGAATTTCAAGTTGCGATAGTGCTCTATGTATGTACATACTTACATATAAACACGCGTATGAGAACATAAATTTACTATAACAAATTGTATTATTTATGTTGTAGTTAAATAAATTTCGGAAAATAGATTTGTGTCAACTCAATTAGCAGGATTTTAATTTGGCCGAAGGCATGCATGGCATATGTATGGAAAGAAATATTGGAGCTAAATGTAATACCTTCGACTGAGCGGATATGGAAATATTTCTTAGTAAATTAATAAAATGTACATGGTTTTTTACGTGGAGCTCGGAACTATACATTTCCTATATGGCGATGGGCTAAGGGGGAGGGATCGTGGCACCTCCTACCACCATTTTATAGAGGGTATGAACCGCCATTCACAAAAGTGCAGCTCCTGACCGCCATTTTTCTAAGGGCTCCCTAGGGGCCCTAGGCTTATAGGAAAGTTTCTCTGAAATTCGTACAAAAAAAGTATTTTCTTGGGTTTTAGTTTTGAATTTTCAGATGCATAAAGCGTTATAGGTTACAAAATTAAAAAAACCAGTTTCATTTTGAATATTTCTATTTCAAATGATTGTTTGTGTACAATTCTTCCGATTCCGGGTGCAGTTTGGTCCCTAACCAGTGTTGCCACAACCTCCCAAAGAAACGTATCCAAATAGTAGCCTAAAGAGTATACAAAAGTATCCATTTTTTTTGTGATACATTTAATACATATAATTTTTTTTTTTGCTTATTTTAAACATTCAATTTAGATCTCGCATTTACATGTGTAATTCGTATTATTCTTAAAAAATCACATTTAAGACCAGTTATCAGTACCAGTTTAAACTTAGATTAAGTAAATTGAGTTTAAATTAACATTTAATTGGCTGAACTTAGTTTAAACCAGCGAGATCGGACGTTTAAGCTTAGTTTAAACCACGGCCGTGATCTGAAAAAACTGGCTTTTAAAGGCCACTAATTAGTTTTAGGGAGTTCACAAGGTGTTGTATACTGTCGTATTATTGTGTGTCGTACCAGCACCAGCAGCGGAGCTATGTGCCAAACGAAACCAATTAAAGATAAATGAAATTAATTGATTATATAGAGTTTTGTTCAATACATTATTTTGTTTTACTAATTCCACCCCAAAACCTTCAATACTGTCTGCAATTAATATTTATCTTTGTCGCTAATTTATTGAAGACAAATTTACGGAAAGATAGACATATTTATATGTAATATATTTATGTTTAGAAAGGCTTCTGAATTTGAACTGAACACAAAAAAAGTATCGACACAAAATTCATGGAACAAAACAGCCTCATTGCGTAAATTAGGCTGAATTGTACGACTCGACAACATTAGCATTGTCTACTGTCGTGCTGAAATAAGTAAACGACGAAAATTGTCGAATACTATGCAGTGCTGCCAAGTTCTTCCGTTTTAATACACTAGTCGAGTGGAAATTTTAGGCAATGACGCTAAATTTTCGATACGATTCGACTCTCGAAAACGACTTGCATTCGGCATGACTCTCGCAATGAGGCTGAAAATCTACTTGGGTACGAATAGAGTAAAACGGCAACAATGTCCCTAACCGATTGAGAGTCCATTTTGGGTTTTTTGCAACACCACAATTTGAGAGCCAATGTAAATATTGAGTGACATTTGGACAACAAAAGTATGTAAATAAGTTGAACCTAAAATATCAGAGTTTCGCTAAAAATGCTAATTAATTTATAAACAATTTCCAATGTAAATTCTATTCTAACATGAAAATCCTTTGTGAAACCGTGGTACAAGATCGACAGACGCAGCGTAATCGCACGCCACGCTATGTTAAATCGACACTGGCAGTGGGTTATAACAATTCCGCCAAGGATGCCGACGGCAATATCACCAAACCTTTGGAAATTATGCTCTTTACATCACAAAATCAAGCGGGCGAACGTTTCAAAGTGACCAATAATGTTGAGAAGATATTCTCGAAGTTCCTGCGTGACGGCAAAGTCACCATAAGCTTCAAAGAACCACCATTAAATCTTATGATTAACTGTGATCCAATACAGTTGAAGGGCTTCCTGCAAACAATCAAGCTGGGCTTGGAGGGTAAAGATTCCATAAATTTAAGACTGAACATTGCGGCTGCTACCGCCATACCACAACGTTCGAAGCCACAAGAGAAAATGACAGTACTGCGACGTGGCGATTATCCTGTGAAGGGGTTCCCGCGCTCCTTGAAGTCGTTAAAAATTTCGAACATACAATTATTGAAAATCAGTTTCGATATTTACTCTCTACGAAATTTGACTGTGCTTGATTTAAGTGATAATCAAATTTCCAGAGTAAGTATTAGGAAGAATTTATATACATACATATGTATGTAATTCTCATGTAAAATGTAACCATTAATCACCCAGATACCACGGGAGATGGGCCGACTTTCATTGGTCTGCTTTACAGTCAACAACAATCAGCTAGGTACAGCAAACGATTGGGAGTGGTTACGCGGCAAACAGATCCGCAAATCGCTGCGTGAATTAGATTTATCGGCTAATGAAATGAGTTACTTCCCACTTGACCTAATCCGACTAGAGCAGCTGGTCGGGCTGAAGATGAGTAACAATAAAATTCCGCGGGTGCCATTCGGTTTTCGGCGCCTACGCAATCTGCGCAACTTATACATCGCTTCGAATCTGCTTACTTCCCTGCCCTCTGATTTCAATCACATGCGCATTGTCGTACTAGATGTGTGGGGTAATAAATTTGGAATGAAGGTGGAACATCATTTAAGTGAAGAGAACAGTAAACACAGTACGCCATCATTATGGCTTTTGGCAGCGCGCGCAGTTTGCCAATACAAACTGCCTTACTCAGCAGCCACCATACCGTGGTTGTTGACTGATATTCTGGCAGAATCGCCACTTTGCGCTTGTGGAAAGGTGTGCTTTGACAATGACATTTTTAAGCGTGCTGTTATGGCTACACTGGATAATATAAAGACTTTGGTAAGCAGTAGAGAGCATTTAATTTACGCTGATATCGTACTGTGTGGCGCAGGATGCTCAGGTCGAAAACAATTGCTCAGTTATGAGCAGCCTTAACGGAAATTAATAAAATGACTGTAAGATCTTACGCATTATATCTTGCTTCGTGGCACTCGGTTTTATTATATCTATGTTATAATTTTATATTTCTAGTTACATATGAGGCCATAAGAGTAGAAGTGGCTTAAATTGTACTTACCTACTTAAAATAATTTCAAATGTGATAAATTTTAAATTAAAAGTCGCTTGTTTGCTACTTTTAATGGTCTGATTATGCATACTTCGCATAACTTCGCACAACTTCGCATAACCTTCAAACTTAGAGCTCTAGATACCCGGGTATCGAGCAATGCGAGTAGCTCGATACTCGCTCGAAACTCGTTCATTGCTCAACTGCTCAAATGTTTGTTCAAAATTTTCGAGTTTTTGAACAATTTTATAAACAAAAGAAAATTTGTAAATTGTATTTGTCAGCAGCTGCTTTCTAATTCATGTTAAATAAATTATATTATTAAATACCAATGTAACAATCTTTGCAATATATATCAATAATTTGAAAAATTTAAAAAGTTGCTACCAAAAATGCCAATATAATAAAAAAAAACATTGCTCAAATCAAGGCGAATTAATATATATTAATATATAAATTCGCCTTGGCTCAAATTACTCGCAAAAACTCGAATTGCTCGAGCTCATGCTCGAAAATTTTCTAGTAATGAGCATTGAACAAGTGTGCGAGTACTCGCTGCTCATATACCCGGGCTGTTTGAAAATGTGCGAACAAAATCGAGAGCTCTACTTCAAACTGTAATTTCGTATGATATTTGTATGTATTTTGTATGTATTCCATTACCCAGAAATTAGCAGAACTTTTAAAAACTTAGCAGACTGTTTAGTTTAGATTTTGCTTCACAGTTTCTTAAGTTATAATTTTATTGCACTGGTACAAATGGTTGTGCGAAGTTATGCGAAGTATGCATAATCAGAGCTTAAGTTGCAAAGCTACATAGCGCACCATCAAAATAACGATAAAGCGACCTTTATTTTAAAATTTATCACATTTGGAACTATTTTAAGAAGTTTACACAAAAAAAATATATATATTGGATTGGGCCACTTCTGCTCTCGTGGCCTGATATATCGTTCTCTATTACATAATGCGTAACAAAGTATGAAGCAAAGAAAAATTAGCAATAAAAAAATTTTAACATACACATATTTTTGCTTAAAAGATGAGCTTTGAGTTATGATCCTAGATATATAGATAGAGGTGTGCACAGTGACCCTAAGATCTATTGTGCCCTCCACTCATTTATACACCTGGCAGAGACGATATATTTTTGTTCTCTTGCTACTCATTCAGTTGTGTCTCCTTATTCGAGTCATAAAAGCGAAGGAAGTTATTTGACCACATTCCTAACTCATGCAGATGTCCTCTTAATGTACAGTGTCCCGGGAGCATGCCTGTGACAATCCGCACTTTCTCTTTAGGCAAGTTAATGTAAAGCCTTTTCTGCGTTTTTCGTTGTAAGGGTTGTAGCGTAAATACTTTAATCCGACGCTATACGAGCTTATCAAATATTGACACTTGGACCACATGTTTCTCAAAATCTGGGGTGATTGAAAGAAAGTATCAACAATAGCTTTAACATTTGTCGCTCCAAAACTAGTGTTGCCCTGTGGAACACATT